TCTGTCTTTAGGCCGGGACATGGTACCGAGACAGCCTTGGTCGCCTTAGTGGATGATCTGTGCCGGGAGCTCGACAGGGGGAGTGTGTCCCTGTTGGTGCTGCTGGACCTCTCAGCGGCCTTCGATACCGTCGACCACAGTATCCTTCTGGGACGCCTCGCGGGGATGGGTCTTGGAGGTACTGTTTTGCAGTGGCTCCGCTCATTCCTCGAGGGTCGGTCCCAGAAGGTGTTACTGGGAGACTCCTGTTCAACCCCACAACCTTTGTCTTGTGGGGTTCCTCAGGGTTCAATACTGTCTCCCATGTTGTTTAACATCTACATGAAGCCGCTGGGTGAGATCATCCGGAGTTTCGGAGTGCGATGTCATCTGTACGCGGATGATGTCCAACTCTGTCACTCCTTTCCACCTGCTACTAAGGAGGCTGTCGAGGTCCTGAACCGGTGCTTGGCCGCTGTGATGGTCTGGATGGGGGCGAACAAATTGAAATTGAATCCAGACAAGACAGAGGTACTCCTGGTCAGTCGTAAGGCCGAACAGGGTATAGGGTTACAGCCTGTGTTGGATGGGGTCGCACTCCCCCTGAAGACGCAGGTTCGCAGTTTGGGTGTGATCCTGGACTCATCGCTGAGCCTGGAACCCCAGGTTTCGGCAGTGACCAGGGGAGCATTCGCACAGTTAAAACTCGTGCGCCAACTGCGCCCGTACCTTGGGAAGTCTGACTTGGCCACGGTAGTCCACGCTCTGGTTACATCCCGTTTGGACTACTGCAACGCTCTCTACGTGGGGTTGCCTTTGAAGACGGCCCGGAAGCTCCAATTAGTCCAACGCTCGGCAGCCATGATACTAACGGGAGCGGAGCGCAGGGAGCATACAACTCCTCTGCTGCACCAGCTCCACTGGCTGCCGATCTGCTACCGGGCTCAATTCAAAGTGCTGGCGTTGGCCTTTAAAGCCCTAAACGGTTCTGGCCCAACTTACCTATCCGAACGTATCTCGGCCTATCAGCCCGCCAGGACCCTTAGATCTTCTGGGGAGGCCCTGCTTTCTATCCCGCCTACTTCACAGGCGCGGCTGGCGGGTACGAGAGACAGGGCCTTTTCTGTGGTGGCCCCGCGGCTATGGAACGCCCTGCCCTTGGAGGTAAGATCAGCCCCCTCATTGATGGTATTCCGAAGAAGATTGAAGACCTGGATGTTCAAGCAGGCATTTGGTTAACTCAGTGCAATGAATGGTAATTGACTAAAGGACTGGCAATATGGACGACGAACTGGATCACGTTTTTAGTTAAGAGTTGAACTGGATTGGTATTGATGTATGAATTGTGTTTTATGTTTTTTTATGCTTTTAACTGTATATTGTTGATTGTTATATTATGTTGTAAACCGCGTTGAGTCGCCGGCTAGGCTGAGAAATGGCGGTATACAAATATAGCAAATAAATAAATAAATAAAAACAGTCACCACGAGGTTGGACTATTGCAACGCCTTATATGCCGGCCTTCCCAAGTCAACAACTCAGAAGATTCAGATGGTCCAAAATGTGGCGGCCAGGCTGCTAGCAGGATCATCTCTAAGATCCCATATTACACCGATTCTGCAACAACTGCATTGGCTACCAATAGAAAATCAGATCTCTTACAAGATACTGATCCTGACATTTAGAGCTCAAAATGGCCAAGGACCTTTATATCTTAGGGACCGCCTCATTCCTTTTCTCCATCAGTGGTCACCTCGATCCACCCAGGAAAATCTCCTCTACATACTGGGCCCTAGGGAGGTACACCTGGAAGCTACAAGGCATAGAGCTTTTTCGACCTATGCTCCAATTCTGTGGAACTCATTGCCTCCATACATTAGAGCAATGTCGGAGTTGCGACCTTTTGTAAAGGCACTCAAGACTTGGCTGTTTGGTTGTGCATTTAAGTAATCAGATCTAATTTGCCAAATAGTCACTGTTGAAAGTTTTTATGTTGAATGTTTTTATATTGTGTAAATGCTATTTTAGATTGTAAGTCGCTCGGAGCACCTTGGTGGAGAGCGACTAATTAAGAAATAAAGTGAAGTGAAGTGATTTAGATCCCACTAAACATAAAAACCTGTATTTCTAAGGGGAACCAGTACCAAGTTTATAATCTTGTGAGTATCTTTAAACATGTTGAAATATATGATGCTGAATGGATGTATTTACAACAAGCATTGATGTATATGATAAATATCAAGTTCATAACTCTGTTAGTATTCTTATATGTATCTTTATATGTGTTTATGTAAATGATTGTCTATGAATTTATTTGTAATATATATATATATATATATATACACACACACACACACACACTACAAATACATTCATATATGTTTATGTACATGATTGTCTATGAATTTATCTGTATGTATGTATGTGTGTGTGTGTGTGTGTGTATATATATATATATATAATTTTAGTCCACCAGATTTAAGTTCAACTCGACGCAAGAACATACAGCGTTGATACTTTTTTGAGTGACTGTACCAAACGCATATAATATTGTTTTGTGAATGCTATGATTTAGAACTGTATAATAAGTTTCACCAGTCACATTATTGGCTGAATTGATTTACTAGACTTCTATATTTCTCATTCAAGACACCACACACTTCTCTAATAGTCATTCCTCAACCTATATCATTCCCTAACTGTTATCCTGTTTCAACCTGAACATTCTAAACTGTCACTAAGTCGGTCACGAGATCTGCATCCCCTCCCACTGCTTTAGGTAGATAAGGAAACTGCAAATCAAATAGGACATATACTTCAGGTTATAAAATGACACATTATAAAACAGAAGAGGCTTGAGAAGGTTGCTTCCTCCAAAATACAAGGAGTTTGCTTATTGCAGCAAATACTCCAGAATACCTAATAACTCATTATGTACCTTAATTCTGAATCCTACACACTATTTCTCTCTAACAGGCCGATTGTGGCACAGCTGGCTGAGTGTCAGCTGCATTAAGATCACTCTGACCAAAAGGTCATGAGTTCGAAGCCAGCCCGGGTTGGAGTGGGTTTCCAACCAATTGTGTAGCCTGTTGTCGACCTTTGCAACCCGAAAGACAGTTGCATCTGTCAAGTAGGAAAATTAGGTACCACCTTAAAGTGTGGGGAGGCTAAATTAACTAATTTATGAGGCCATAAAAAAGACTCCAGCAAAGCACTCCAGCAAAAAAGCATGCGGGGAATGCGGAAGTACTTCATCAGTGTCGCAGATGGACGATGAAAGCGACAGCTCCCCTGGCAGCCAGAAAAAGTTAAATAGCCTCTGTGTATGTCTGTATATGTTTTATGTTAAAAATTGGCATTGAATGTTTGCCATATATGTGTACACTGTAATCCACCCTGAGTCCCCTGTGGGGTGAGAAGGGCGGAATATAAATGCTGTAAATAAATAAATAGTATATTTTGCTTATTAAATAGAAGAACTATATGCTGATGGAACACATCCAATAGGATTCAAAAGAGAGGTGCAGTTACTTCTTCTCTTTTATTTTTCTCCTTTATGCGCTTGTACAAAAATTCTGCACACACAGAGAAAGAATTAGTTTTGTACAAGACTGTTGTTTTGTGTACAGAGAAATATGTGAAACTATTTAGAAACTTTTTTGGGGGGCGGGGAGAAACAAACATCTCCTCTCTCTGTCTCCTTCTCTCTCTCTTATTTCCTCTCTCATACACACAACTGCCTATGGGATCTGGAAACACTGGGGAAAAATTGTGCAAAATCCTTGCAATTTTGTAATTCATATCACTTGGGTCTCACAATTTCTGGGCAAACCAATTTTCAACCCGGAAATTAATAACATCAAATATTTCTTCAACCCCTAATTCATGGGACTGGCACACAAACACTTCTATAGCTTCTGTAGTAAAGACTTCTAAAATTACTTGCTCCTGACTTATATAAAGTCAGAAACACTGTATTTTTACAATTGTAAAAAGCCATTGATTGTAAAAAAAAAAACAAAACCCTAATTTCAGTACCAACAACAACAACAAAATATATAAGACATACATGCCATTCTAAGATGCATCCCATTGTTAGAGATGTTTATAGAGAACAGTGGTTCTCAACCTGGAGTCCCCAGATGTTTTTGGTCTTCAACTCCCAGAAATCTTAACAGTTGGTAAACTGGCTGGGATTTCTGGGAGTTGTAGGCCAAAAACGGAGCCCTTGGTGGCGCAGTGGGTTAAACCCTTGTGCCGGCAGGACTGAAGACCGACATCCGGGGAGAGGCGGATGAGCTCCCTCTATCAGCTCCAGCTCCTCATGCKGGGACACGAGAGAAGCCTCCCACAAGAATGATAAAAACATCAAAATCATCCRGTCGTTCCCTGGGCAACGTCCTTGCAGACGGCCAATTCTCTCACACCAGAAGCGACTTCTGACACGACAAAAAAAAAAAAAAAGGCCAAAAACATCTGGGGAGATGAGAACCACTGATATAGAGGGACAAAGTGTGTTTTAGAAATTAAATTAAATAAAAGTACTCATGGAAAGGTTGCCACCATGTGTTAGAATTTAAAATTGCATAACATGCTTTGATTTGTTTTGAACTATTTCCCAGGCTTTGAAGAAGAAGAAAAATGAGTTCCTAGTTTACTAGATAATAGTCTGGAGCCAATTGCAAAAAAGAGACGGTGTCACAATCAAAGGAAAAAGAAATCAAAGAGAAGACTTGAAACATAAAAAAGCTTTCTATGTTTGTCCAGACAGTTGTAAGTTCCCTCTTAGTGAACTAACCTCCATGTTCAAGGAACACACGAACACATCTTTCTTTCCCTCTTGCTGCCGAGAAGTGAAGCAAGGTCCACCCGTTGGCATCTCGACCATTTGGGGAATAGCCCTGCTCTAGCATCTTGCGGACAGTATGGACATCCCCAGCGGCCACCGCAGCCTGAATCTGCAGCTCTTCCTGTAGCTCAGGGTTCCTCCGGCAGTGGTGATGTAACATCCTTTCAGAATCTGCCTCCTAAAGAAGGATCATAAAGTCTCACAGGTCACCTTAAACTGATGAAATACAAATTAGAAAGAGGGGGAGGTAACAAAAAAGCCCAACTCTCAATAATAATAATAATAATAATAATAATTATTATTATTATTATTATTATTTATACCCCGCTCCATCTCCCCCAGGGGGACTTGGTGCGGCTTACATGAGGCCACACCATATATATGTGCGTGTGTCTACACTGCCATATAATCCGGTCCTAAGTAGGTAATCTGGATTTTACATGGAAGTGTGGAAGGGGTGACTTTTGGTGCATCTACACTGTAGATTTAATAAAGGAGGATGAAGCTGGTGAGGGGAGGAGAAAAAGGAAGGAAAGAAAGGGAGGGAGGGAAGGAAAGGGAGGGAGGGAAGGAAAGGAAGGGAGCGAGAAGTGAGGGAGAAAAGTAAAGGCAGGGAGGGAGGAAGGAGAGAAAGGGTGGGAAAGAAGTAAAGGAAGGAGAAGGAAGGGAAGTAGAGAAAGGGAGGAAGGGAGGGAAGGAGGGGGTTGGACTGGATGGCCTTTAGGGCTCCCTTCCAACTGGTTGGCCATCTATTGTGAGGGCTTTGATGTTGTCTTCCTTTACTGCCAAATGAGGTTGGGCTGGATAGTCTTTGGGGCTCCTTTCCAAGCAATGTCAGTTTCGTGTGTCCCTATTACCCCCATCATGGCACCTTCCTCCTTCCCTTGTGCTGTGGGAGTGTGTGTGTGGGAGAGAGTCAGAGTGTGTGCACAGAGTGTGGCCCACCTCCCTCTGTTTTCCTTCCCCCTCTCTCTCCTCCCCCTCAGCCCTTTGATCCCTTGCCTTAGTGTTAGTTAGGGGCAATTGCTGCTGCTGCTGCTTCGGAATCCTTATTCTGTGTCCTCAGCGCAAGGGGGGATAGGGGAGGTGTGTTGTCTTCTTCCTTTTTTTAATTTAAAGGTGTTTTTGTGGGGGGTTTTTTCAGTGATGGTCACTCCTTGGATTGTGAGGAGTTTTTTGCCAAATTTGGGGTCATTTGGCCCATAGTTTTTTTTTGTTTTAAGGTACTCATTACGCACAGAGCATTCTATATATATATATAGATATATTATTTTTAGATTATCTAACTATATTTATATTATCTATATCTATACTGTGTCTATAATATTGATATTTTGTATTATTTCTACATTATCCATAGTAAAAGTGAAAATATGTTTGTATGTACCTATCTAGCTATGTTTGTATGCAATTTCCAAGATGGCTCCCACATCCAGATGGTCCTGTGACTCCCTCCAATAACATATCTGGACCAAACTTGGCATGCAGATTCCCCAAAACCAACACAAAATACTGATGGGGTTGGGGGGAGGGGGTATTGACCTGGGATGAAGGGAGTTGTAATTTATCTACATTATTATGCATTTTCTAATAAATCCATTCGTAAAATCCAAAACCAAACAATGACTACTTCTAATAAACAGCATTACAAAATCCTTAACTCAGGCATCACTTGGTACTGAGCTAGTTGTTGAAAAAGCTCAAACCAGATAAGATTCTGTCCTTATAATAGCTGCAAGGTCACACTGCAGCAATAATCGAATTTTTCAAAATTGCTGTCTCAAACATCCCATTTGAAGTAAGAAAAAGCTTAAAATGAAACACTGAAACAGAATTTGTCTCATTTGAAATGAAACTGTTCAAAGATCAATGTCAATGCCAAGGATGGGGTGCTTCTTTTCTGCAAAACATGCACTGCAGGGGGAGGCTCACAAGAGGGAGGGAATGACTTCCTCCCTAACAACCAAGACAGTAGTAACTTTCAAATATGCTTGCGGGTGTCACCAACAGGATGCTAGTCAAAGACCATCCAAACAATTAGACCAGCTTGAGTTTCTCATTTTTCAATATATGCAATGCATTCATTTGAATCTGATCAGAGTACAGGCAGCTTCACTTCCCACATGTTCCAAATATATGAAAGAAAACAGGAGGGAGCTGGATCCTTCCCTTTGAATTCAATAAGTAAGAGGAAAAACTAACATGTGTGGGAAATGATTTTAAAAAACAGAAGCTTTAAAGAAATATTGATAAATTCAATGTGCTCCCTTCTGCTGTACTGGAGGGAAGATATAACAAAGTACCATACGATGAACGCCTATGTCCGTGATGGTGAACCTATGACACGCATGGCTATTTTTGCTGACACGCGGCCGCATACAGAGAAGTACACCTTATAAGAGCCAATCTAATTCCATCCTTTCGTTTGTAAAAGGCTCTACAAATTTAACATCTGCACGTTTGAGCATTGTCCACTCCATAACTCAGCATGGAATATACATTTTTCTTATTTAAACTATAAATATTGCAAAATTATGGGTTTTTTTTTCTCAAAGTTGACACCCCACCTAAGTTATGCTCAGGTTTTTGGCAAATTTTGACACACCAAGCTCCAAAGGTTGCCCATCACTGGCCTATGTTCCTGTGAGGCTGAGGCAGTGGAAACTGTAGAGCACATGTTGTTGCACTGCTCTTTTTACCAAGACCTTCGTAAACATTTTATAATCCTATTTTAGAAAGTTTACGAGGGAGATCTGTAAGGTTTTATGTTGATTATCTTTTGGCTGATCAACACCCCAAAATTACTGCTAAAGTTGCTAACTTTTTTGCAGCAGCAATAGCTTGTCGTCGCAAGATGCTGTCACACTCTTAGAAGGTTTTAACATTTACCTCACTTTTTACCATTGTCATTTTAGCATATAAATGTTTAATACTGTTTAACTATCATATTCAATACTGGATTCTAACTTTGTTTTTTGACATTGTTTCCTAATGCCTATATGTATATGTTCTTATTCTGACGTTTGTACATTTCTTGGTGCTGGTCACTGACCGTAAATAAATGTATTATTGTTACACACAGAGAAAGTGTGTATTTCTGGCTAATGGCTAGCCATATCCAGTGCAGTGATTGCTGGGAAGAAGAGCAAGCAACATTTGGTGTTTCATTTTTAATGTTTAAAACTTTTAAAAATTTCTACAGAAATATAGGGGGTTTATTTAAGCTCAATAACTAGAAAATACTGTATATACTCGAGTATAAGTTTTTCAGTCTTTTTTAGGTTGAAAAAGTCCCCCTCGGCTTATACTCGAGTCAAGGTTATTTATTATTTTACTCTGTTGTTGTTGTTATTATTTCATTTATTATTTTATTCTATTTATTACTATTACATTTATTATTTTACTCCATTATTATACATTATTTATTTATTTATTTATTTACTTTACTTGTATACCGCTCTTCTCAGCCAATTAGGCGACTCAGAGCGGTTAACAATAAGAAGCGGCAAAAATTCAATGCAACACATACAGCCATTTAAAAACAATTGACACATTAACACACTAGGCAATTACCATCAGTGACCATCTATAGCAGCGGTCGGGAACCTTTGGCTCTCCAGGTGTGGTGGACTTCAACTCCCGCAATGCCTTGAGGCTCGGCACTAGCGGGCGGGGCCGAAGCGGCGAGGAGGCGCGTTGCCCGCAGGGGTTTCCGCCCGCTCTCTCCCTCCGAGGGCAGCCTTTGCTGCCCGTCCTCCATGAAAAAGAGGCTCTTTTTCATGGAGGACGGGCAGCAAAGGCTGGCCTCGGAGGGAGAGAGCGGGCGGAAACCCCTGCGGGCAACGCGCCTCCTCGCCGCTTCGGCCCCGCACGCTAGTGCCGAGCCTCAAGGCATTGTGGGAGTTGAAGTCCACCACACCTGGAGAGCCATAGGTTCCCGACCGCTGTCTTAGCATCAATAACAATTCAATAGCGTCTCATAACTAAAATCATAATCCAAGTTCGTCATTCATTGTTCCGATTCCTATAATCCATTGTGATTCACTGCACTGCCTATATTTCACTGTATAATTGTTGCTATTGCTACATTCATTATTTTACTCTTTTTATTATTGTTGTTGTTATTACATTTTTAAAGTTACTCTCTTTATTATTATTGGAAGGATACGTAAGCACATTTACATTGAAGGTAAATAATAATTTAATGAGAGTTGGACAGTCTTATCTTAAATTACCATTTTTGTAAATACTCAAAAATATATAACCTACTGATTCCTCAATTAATGTAATTTAATTGGTATCTATTTTTATTTTGCAATTTACCAGTAGCTGCTGCATTTCCCACCCTCGGCTTCTACTCGAGTCAATCTGTTTTCTCAGTTTTTTGTGGTAAAATTAGGTGCCTCGGCTTATATTCGGGTCGGCTTATACTTGAGTATATACGGTACTTGTTTCGTCGTGTGAGCAAAGACTGTGTAAAAATCAGTGCTATTTTCTTATGGTTTTCTTTAAACACCAGGATGTCTATGGCCAACACTGGATGAGCCACTAAATAAGAAAGTCCCAAATGCCATCCACCTTGGCAACTTCGAAAAGAGAAAAGAGAGCTTTATCCAAGAAAGGGGACAAATATATCTCATCAAATGAAGAAAATATACCTTATAGGCAGAGGTCACTTTTTGTAAGTCTTGGTTCCCATCTTCATTATACATAACCCTGTTCACGGGTATGACATGTCACGCAGTCTTGTCTTGAAATGAAGAATGCAGTCTTGCTAAACCAAAGCAAAAACAGGTGGGAAGAACAAAACAAGGAACACATGTTAATTCAGTCACAAATGACACAAAGACAGTGAGTATCACGTGTCTGATTAAAAAGTAATCTGAGTTATGGAGGAAGGCCTTACAGAGATGTTAACGTAGTTAAGTCATGATGTAGGATAGGTAAAGGGTTCCCCTGATAATAAGTCTTGTTGTATCCAGCTCTGGGCGGTGGTACTCATCTCCAATTCTAAGCCAAAGAGCCGGTGTTGTCTGTAGACGCCTCCAAGGTCATGTGGGTAACATGACGGCATGGAGTGCTGTTACCTTCCCGCAGAAGTGGACCCTAGTCATCTACCCACATTTGCATGTTTTTGAACTGCTAGGTTGGCAGAAGCTGGGGCTAATAGCATGAGCTCACCCCGCTCCACGGATTTGAACCACCAACCTTTTAGTCAGCAAATTCAGTAGCTCAGCAGTTAACCCGCTGTACCACCGGGGGTCCTTGATTTAGGATAGGATTGTCAAAAACCAAAAAAGACAAACAGAACCTCACCCTTTTTCTCATCCTTGACATTGTTTGTGCCTCAACACCACTAAACCCATAATAATAATAATAATAATAATAATAATAATAATAATAATAATAATCGGGTTGTTGTAGGTCTTTCCGGGCTATATGGCCATGTTCTGGAGGCAATTTTTCTCCTGACGTTTTGCCTGCATCTATGGCAAGCATCCTCAGAGGTAGTGAGGTCTGTTGGAAGTAGGAAAAATGGGTTTATATATCTGTGGAATGACCAGGGTAATGTTTCAGCTGATCACCTTGATTTGCATTCAATGGCCTGGAAGCGCCTGGGGGGAATCTCTTGTTGAGAGTGAATTGATGTGCCTGATTGTTTACTCTCTGTTGTTTTGCTGTTGTAATTTTTGAGTTTTTTAATACTGGTAGCCAGATTTTGTTCATTTTCATGGTTTCTTCCTTTCTGTTGAAATTGTCCACATGCTTGTGGATTTCAATGGCTTCTCTGTGTAGTCTGACATGGTTGTGAGAGTGGTCCAGCACTTCTGTGTTCTCAAATAATATGCTGTGTCCAGGTTGGTTCATCAGGTGCTCTAATTATTATTATTATTATTTCTACCCCGTCACCATATCCCCAATGGGGACTCAGGGTGGCTTACATGAGGCCATGCCCAATAGTGCATTACAATAAAATAAAACAAAAACAAAAACAAAAAGGCATAAAATACAATAAACAAACAAACATGTCCTTTGGGTGCAAATGGCAGCTGAACAATGACCCATCCAAATATGGCCAGAGCTCAAAAGATACCTGGGTAAGAAACATTCTTTCTCTAGTTTCTTCTATATCATGCATTTTCAACATTGTAGCCTTGTTCATCTTGATGGCCTTATTAACACTCAAGTCACATGATGGCACTTAGTGCCATGAACATATTTATATGTGGGGATCTCTGTACATATTCCAAACCAGGTCTCCCAATAACATTGTATTCTGAACACTATGTTCCCTGTAGAACTTGACAGCAATAATGCTTAACCCTAACAGCACTTTAATCTGGCCAATGATTATTGGGGATAAGAAAAAATTGCCCTCTTTTACCTTGCATATGACGTAGTCTGCTTTTCCAACCTGCTTTTACTTTTACTTTACCTCCTCTGCAATAGGAGGGCTTTGAAATAATGCTTGGCTATTGCTTCCAGCATAAAGCCTCAGAAAATGAAAAACATATACCACAAAATGTGCTTATATGCTCTTCACAGAGAATGATGTCTATAACTGCTCACAGATTTTTTTAAAAAAACAAACTGTCAACAAATAGTGCTGTCTCAGCATTTCAAACAATTATGTCTAGCAAGTGACCACTCCCCACAATTTCAGGCAAGAATCTTTCTGCACTGTTTGCTGATGCAAGCTATTGAACTGGTGACTGCAATGCATGTTCTCTGTTGGGCTACAATTCTTTACCAAGTGTCTTGCTGTTTGAGCACACCTTTTGTTTTATTCACATAATTCACTGATGTACACAAATAGACAGGCAATTAAGAAACAGTTAGGTGCTATAAACTGGTTGTGACAAGCATTAATTTTGTGTTTCTTTTTGACAAGAGAACAGATGATCATGCCACAATACAATGTTCCAATCCCCAACCAAATAAATAGCCTATTTGTTAATATTACAATATTCTAGAACCCTTTAATGTAAATGCAAAATTTCTGTCCCAATCAAGCAGCATTTTAGATACATTTTTAAAAAGATTATTGGCTTAATAATTTCAGCTAAAGACAAGATGGGGAGTGAAAAATACTAGATCATTGTGCTTAGCGTTGCTATGGCACTTGTGCTATTGCATTCAGAAAGTGGCTACATTTCAACAATGAGCAAAAATTTTCATGAACAAGATGAAGACTGAAAACCACTAAGCATATTATTGGCGTATAAAGAGGGCCTTTGATGTCCTCTGGGGATTGGTTATAAGACACCCCCCCCCCCCCAAAAAAAAAGGGTATCAAAATCCGTGGATGCTAAAGTCCCATGATATAGAATGGCATTAAAAATGGTTCTAGGACACCCTTCACCCAAGGATACCATAATCTATGGAGTGTATAAATCCATGATAGTGAACCTATGACACACGTGTCAGCACTAACACGCATAGCTATTTTTGATGACACGCAGACACATGTGGCCACATACAGAGAAATACACCTTATAAGAGCCAATCTAATTCCATCCTTAAATTTGTAAAAGGCTCTACAAATTTAACATATGCACGTTTGAGCATTGTCCACTCCATAACTCAGCATGGATTATACATTTTTCTTATTTAAACTATAAATATTGCAAAATTATGGGTTTTTTTAAGGAAACTCCCAGCAATATGTCCCTAAATGCACTTTATTAGTGATCTAGGATTGTCTGCACGGCCCATCCCTCTCTGAAAATTCTATCCTAGTTATATTTCACCTGTCACGCTTAGCATTATTTTAAATTTTTTAAATTACATTTGGCCCAGCCATAGGTTTTTAAACGTTGTTGTGTTATTGTTAARGTTTATTGCTTATTTTCTGCTTATGAGTTTTATTTATTGTTTTGTATTACTGTTGTTATTGTTTTTACTGTTGTATTGTGGGCTCGGCCTCAGGTAAGCCACACCGAGTCCCTTGGGGAGATGGTAGCGGGATACAAATAAAGTTTTATTTTTTTTTTATTATTTATTCTTGAAATGACACTCCACCCAAGTTATGCTCAGGTTTTTGGCAAATTTTGACACACCAAGCTCAAAAGGTTGCCCATCACTGGTATAAATCAAAATTTGAATGTTTAATTCACTGAGAGCTGACTGTACACTTTGAAACATCTTCCTTCAACTGTTTAAATTGATGCCAGAAAAGTGTCTGCACAAGGTGCCCTGGATTCTAGTTTCTGAATACAAAGACTCCTTTTCTACTAAACAGGACACTAAGAAACTATGGATATACTTAAATGAACTATGTGGATGTGTCCATGAACACAATTTCAATTCTGGTGGCCAGATCTACAGATCGCTATCTCTGAAACATCCCGACGATTGATGGCAAAGCAGGCTTATCTGTTTTCCCATGTGTTATGTCTGTTTTGTTGTTTGCATATGATCAACAAGGGATTCTGGAGGCTGGTGCTGCTTATCCTCCCTGAAGTAGGCATGCACACCTGGTTTCAGTAGGATCAACTAGAAAAAATCCCACATTTTCCCAGCAAAAAGCCTTATTGCATTGTTTATTACATAACACAGAAATCTGTTTTTCCTGCCCTCCTTCACCACCTTACCAATGTGGAAATTGGTGAAAAATTACAGGTAGATAGGCCTCAAAGAGGAAAAATGGGAGCTGGGTGGCTTTAAAAAAGACCATACAAAGGAGGCTCTATGCCAACGATTTTGTAAAGTGAAGTATAGCTTTAATTTGGAGATGGGGAACTTGTGGCTCTGCAGATTATGTTGCACTGCAAATCCCATCAACATAACCAGAACTGCCACTGGTGAGCACTCATGGGATTTGCGATCCAACAATATCTGGAGAGTCAGATATTTCTTATGCCTCAGGATTCATACTTTTGACCTTTGGACTGTAGATGCAACGTTCCATTTTCGCTACAAGAACCTGGCCTTTTTCATATGCAAAATCCCGTGTATAATTTTATGTATACAATGCTTGACAATGATACAAATGTGAAGACTTGGGAGACATATTTTTCTACATGGCCAATATTTCATAATGTTGCAACACAAACAGTGCAAACACTTGACTTTTTAGTTTTAAGGATAAATATCGACACCAAAAACAAACTTTTAAAATGAGACTGTCAATCAAACTAAGTAACATTAATGTAAATACATTCTACTTAGTTAATCTTTTGCTAGCAGCGTATTTTCAAATTCTTGTAATACCAAAGGCCTAGTGAACCCATACTGAGTCTCCATGAACATTTGGCTCTTTTGTTACAATAGATCAGCAGAGTTCAATGCGCACTCTATCCAAAATTGTATATGTACAGTATATTAAAGAGCACATTGAACATCAGGTATCGGCATCCAATGACTAGTTCATGAATTTTAAGAAGAAAAGATATGCTCAAGTGATTAACCTGGATGCTTTTAGCCAAGCCAGCCTTTCCCTTCTCAGCAAGCTACAAGTAATTGGGAAGTATATAAAGACGCTTTCTATAAGAAAGTCGCAAAATATCTATGTACTCATATTGAGTCTTATAAAAATCAGAAGTGTTTACTTCTTAGTAAATGTTATATTTAGTAGTATTGTATACTAATGGTTTATGTCAAGCTGCTTTGAGTCCCCTTTGGGGAGATAAAGCAGGATATAAATAAATATAATAATCATACTTTATTGAACCCATCTGCCCAAAGGGACTTGGAGCAGTTCACAAAAGCACTCCAAAGTGCAGCACACATAAAATACAATCTACATAAGCATATAAAACGACGACAAATTTTCACAACGCTTTCACTTAAAAGCATCACATAATAAGATTTTAAGTTCCATAAATGTGCATGGCATCAGTTTGCAAGACCTTTTTTCACATGCACAATTTCAGGACCATGTGAAAAAAACCCACTACCCCAACTCCAACCACCAACATTTTTCTATCATACTGTCAGAATCTGTATAATCATAAAAACAAGCTGAGATTTCAGACTGTCACCTGTATACAAGATTCTCTCATTATATCTTCGCCTCTTGACTTTTATTTTGGATTCCAAATGTGCACACTTCTTCTGCAGCAGCATGAGCCTGGAATGACAAGCAGAAGAACCAGGTTTGCATTTGGAACAAGATAATTTCTTTACCTCTTGGCTGATTCATTGAAATTAATTGCAATCTTCCACCCAGGAGGTCAAGGCAGTTTATCAAATTGACCCTGTATTTGTAGGCCCAATACTGGCAGTTTCCCTTACCCATGTCAAAAAAAATTGTTCTCTCTGGGCATTTTCTTAGTCATCTTTCACAATTTTAAGAATATGCTTTTTGTTGGAAATTGGCCGTATAATTTTGCTGAAAAACCTAGAAATGCCAGCGAGCTAAGTATTCTCTCTAGGTATTTTCTAGGTCCTCCAGCACAATTCTGTTGTGTGCTTCTCTTCAAAGTTATTCATTTCAATTCATTCCCTATTATTTACCATGTCACATTGCTATGGTAAGTTTAGAAACCAATCCACCATAATATGAAGGTTGCATTATATATCCTATGTAGCATGTTTGGTGAAAAAGTGTAATCCAGGACCCTTTATACAGCACTATATCCCAGAATATCAAGGCAGAAAATTCCACAATATCTACTTTGAACTGGATTATCTGAGTCCACACTGTCATATATTCCAGTGCAAAGCAGATAATGCGGTATTCTCTGCCTTAATATTCTGGGATACAGGCATGTGTGGGAGGACCCCACACAGACTAAATCTCTTGGTTTCAAATGTACCGAGATGTATAGATCTCAGCAGGACTCAAGTCAGACCAAAACCAAAAAGAATACCAGAAGGTTAAGACTTTTGCTAGGAGCAGGAGAAAAGGATACTCACTGCTTCCCAGAATTCCAAAAAAAAAATTAAAGTGAAGTATCCAAGAAAGCAAAAGATTTTGCAAAATTATAGCTCCCATGATTCCAGAGCATCAAACCATGGCAGCTGAAGTGGTGTCAATTCTACAACGTAGATGCACCCAAAGAGTTCTGGATGTGAATTACTTTTGAAATCTCATTCTAAGCAATGCTAGAAATCAGGGAAATCAAAGGGACGTTTCACCTGGAGGCGATACAGTCGTTGTGAACACACAGCTACATTCTCATGGGCACTGTCTACACTGTAGAATGAATGCAGTTTGATCCCATCTTGACAACTGTGGCTCAATGTCGTGGAAAAATGGAAGCTGTAACTTAATGAGGTGTCATTCCTCTTTGACAAACAGGCAAAATACCTTTTAAGACTACGCCCCCTTCTACACTAACATTTAAAATCCAGATTATCTGCTCTGAACTGGATTATATGGCAGTGTAGACTCACACACAGATAATATGGGATTTCCTGCCTTGATATTCTGGGATATAGGCCTGTGTGAAAGGGCCCTCAGATAACCCAGTTCAAAGCAGATATTGTGGATTATCTGTCTTGATATTCTGGGTTATATGGTTGTGAAGAAGGGGCCTGGGTTATCTGAGTCCAAACTGCCCAACAATCTGGGATAAACAAAAAAAAATGGGATCAGAGGGAGGGATTCTGAGGGCCCTTCCACACAGCCCTATATCACAGAATATCAAGGCATACAATCCCACCGTATCTGCTTTGAACTGGGTTATCTCAGTCCACATTCAGATAATGGGGGATTTTTTGCCTTGATATTGTGGGATATAGAGCTTTGTGGAACCCTTCCACGCAGAACCCTTCCACGCAGCTGTATAAAATCTACACTGAACTGGGTTATATGGCAGTGTGGACTCAGATAACCCAGTTCAAAGAAGCTATTGTGGATGGGTTGTTGTAGGTTTTTTCGGGCTATATGGCCATGGTCTAGAGGCGTTCTCTCCTGACATTTTGTGTGATCCAGGGCCTTCACATCTATGGCATGCATCCTCAGAGGTAGTGAGGTCTGTTGTAACTAGGAAAAAGGGTTTATATATCTGTAGAATGACCAGGGTGGGACAAAGGACTCTTGTCTGCTGGAGCTAGGTGTGAATGTTTCAACTGATCACCTTGATTAGCATTTGATTGCCTGACAGTGCCTAGAGCAAACTTTTTCTGAGAGGTGATTAGATGTCCTTGTTTGTTTCCTCTCTGTTGTTGTGCTGTTTTTAATTTTAGAGTTTTTAAATACTGGTAGCCAGATTTTGTTCATTTTCATGTGGACAATTTCTGTTGAAATTGTCCACCTACTTGTGTATTTCAATGGCTTCTCTGTGTAGTCTGACATGGTGGTTGTGAGAGTGGTCCAGCATTTCTGTGTTCTCAAATAAAATGCTGTGTCCAGGTTGGTTCATCAGGTGCTCTGCTATGGCTGATTTCACTGGTAGCTTCAGCAGACAAGAGTCCTTTGTCCCACCCTGGTCATTCCACAGATATATAAACCCTTTCACCAGAGAAATCAGCCATAGCAGAGCACCTGATGAACCAACCTGGACACAGCATTTTATTTGAGAACACAGAAATGCGGACCACTCTCACAACCACTATGTCAGACTACATAGAGAAGCCATTGAAATCCATAAGCATGAAGACCTGGCTATTCCAATATGCCTTTCCGGAATAGGATAACCTCCAGCACTACGGCCTAGAAACACTTAGAGTTTAAGACTCTCTGCACATTGCACTGGCCCAGAATCCCAACATATCACCTCTTATACCCAGCATTTTTAACCTGTACCCTTCATTGGCCCGGCCCTGGTTTTATTGCGTAATAGTGTAATGTTTTGTTGTTGTTATTGCTTATGTTTTTAATTTGCTTGCATTGTATTGTTATTGTCTGTTGTTGTTGTTGAGGCCTTGGCCTTTGTAAGCCGCATCGAGTCCTTCGGGAGATGCTAGCGGGGTACAAATAAAGTTTAATAATAATAATAATAATAATAATAATAATAATAATTTCAACAGAAAGGAGGAAACCATGAAAATGAACAAAATCTGGCTACCAGTATTAAAAAACTCTAAAATTACAATAGCACAACAACAGAGAGGAAACAAACAAGGACATCTAATCACCTCTCTGCAAAAGTTTGCTCTAGGCACTATCAGGCCATTATATGCTAATCAAGGTGGTCAGTTGAAACATTCACACCTAGCTCCAGCAGACAAGAGTCCTTTGTCCCACCCTGGTCATTCCACAGATATATAAACCCTTTTTCCTAGTTCCAACAGACCTCAATACCTCTGAGGATGCTTGCCATAGATGCAGGCGAAACGTCAGGAGAGAATGCCTCTAGACCATGGCCATATAGCCCAAAAAAACCTCTACAACAACCCAGTGATTCCGACCATGAAAGCCTTCGACAATATATTGTGAATGATCTGCCTTGATGTCTTGAGTTATATAGCTGTGTGGAAGGGGCCGGGTTATCTGAGGGCCCTTCCACACAGCCCTCTATCCCAGAATATCAAGGCATAAAATCCTACAATATCTGCTTTGAACTGGGTTATCAGTCCACACTCTGATAATGTAGGATTTTCCGCCTTGATATTCTGGGATACAGGGCTGTGTGGAAGGGCCCTAGAACCCTTCCACACAGCTGTATAAAATCCACACTGAACTGGGTTATATGGCAGTATGGACTCAGAAAACCCACTTCAAAGAAGTTATTGTGGATGATCTGCCTAGATGTCCTGAGTTATATGGCTGTATGGAAGGGGCCTGGGACATCTGAGAGCCCTTCCACACAGCCCTCTATCCCAGAATATCAAGGCATACAATCCCACCATATCTGCTTTGAACTGGGTTATCAGAGCCCACATTCAGATAATGGGGGATATTCCGCCTTGATATTCTGGGATATAGAGCTGTGTGGAAGGGCCCTAGAACTTTTCCACACAGCTGTATAAAATCCACACTGAACTGGGTTATATGGTGGTGTGGACTCAGATAACCCAGTTCAAACCAGCTATGGTGGATGATCTGCCTTGATGTCCTGAGTTATATGGTTGTGTGGAAGGGGCCTGGGTTATCCGAGCGCCCTTCCACACAGCCCTCTATCCCAGAATATAAAGGCATAGAATCCCACCATATCTGCTTTGAACTGGGTTATCTCAATCCACATTCAAATAATGGGGGATTTTCTGCCTTGATATTCTGGGATACAGGTCTGTGTGGAAGGGCCCTAGAACCCTTCCACACAGCTGTACAAAATCCACACTGAACTGGGTTATATGGCTGTGTGGACTGAGATAACCCAGTACAAAGCTATCGTGGATGATCTGCCTAGATGTCCTGAGTTATATGGCTGTATGGAAGGGGCCCGGGTTATCTGAGGGCCTTGATATTCTGGGATATAGAGCTGTGTGAAAGGGCCCTAGAACCCTTCCACACAGCTTTATAAAATCCACACTGAACTGGGTTATATGGCAGTATGGACTGAGATAACCCAGTTCAAAGAAGTTATTGTGGATGATCTGCCTTGATGTCCTGAATTATATGGCTGTGTGGAAGGGGCCTGGGTTATCTGAGGGCCTTGATATTCTGGGATGTGTGGAAGGGCCCTAGAACCCTTCCACACAGCTGTATAAAATCCACACTGAACTGGGTTATATGGCAGTGTGGACTGAGATAACCCAGTTTAAAGCTATTGTGGATGATCTGCCTAGATGTCCTGAGTTATATAGCTGTGTGGAAGGGGCCTGGGTTATCTGAGGGCGCTTCCGCACAGCCTTCTATCCCAGAATATCAAGGCATACAATCCCACCATATTATTTATTTATTTACTTTGCTTCTATAGCGCTGTTCTCAGCCCGAAGGCGACTCACAGTGGTTCACAGTCAGTAAAAACAGCAATTCAATGCAACATATAACAACAATTAACAACTTAACACATTACCTGCTCAGTAAACAATTACTACCATAACCAAACCCAATCTCTCATCGTCAAAAACATAATCCAGATTCGTCATCCATTGTTCACTCCTATGTTCATTACCAATCATTGTACTAGTTATTCAAACGCCTGCACACACAGCCAGGTCTTCAGTTTTTTACGGAATACCATGAAAGATGGGGTCGATCTAATGTCCATGGGAAGGGCGTTCCACAGCCGAGGGGCAACCACCGAGAAGGCCCTATCTCTCGTCCCCGCCAACCATGCTTGAGAAGCCGGCGGGATCGAGAGCAGGGTCTCCCCGGAAGATCTCAAAGTCCTGGTGGGTTCATAGGCTGAGATGCGGTCGGAAAGGTATCTTGGGCCGGAACCGTTTAAGGCTTTATAGGCCAACGCCAGCACTTTGAATTCAGCCCGGTAGCAGATCGGTAGCCAGTGGAGTTGGCGCAACAGGGGGGTTGTATGCTCCCTGCGCTCCGCTCCTGTTAAAATCATGGCTGCCGAGCGTTGGACTAGTTGGAGCTTCCGAGCTGTCTTCAAAGGCAACCCCACGTAGAGAGCGTTGCAGTAGTCTAAACGGGATGTAACCAGAGTGTGGACTACCGTGGCCAAGTCAGATTTCCCAAGGTACGGGCAGTGTGGACTCAGATATGGCAGTGTGGACTGAGATAATCCAGTTCAAACCAGCTATTGTGGATGTCTTGAGTTATATAGCTGTGTGGAAGGGGTCTGGGTTATCTGAGGGCCCTTCTATCCCAGAATATCAAGGCATACAATCCCACCATATCTGCTTTGACCTGGGTTATCAGAGTCCACACTCTGATAATGGGGGATATTCCGCCTTGATATTCTGGGATAGAGGGCTGTGTGGAAGGGCCCTCAGTCCCAACTTCCATATAACCCAGTTCAAAGCAGAATTATGTGGGGTTTTCTTCAGCTGTGTGGAAGGGGCCATAATGGTCATAATCACAACAATCCCCAGCCTACAGATTGGTCAAGTGGGAGGCACCCTTGCATCCCGTGAGAGTCGACCCCACTCCTGGCATCGAATGGCATCAAGGGGGCGGCGTGCACGACCACCAAGGAAGAGGCCCGGGAGGCCCGGGTCGGGGGCCTTCTCCTCCCTGGATTGGTCGAGGGGCCGCCAAGTCCCGCCCCAGCGCCGGCCGTTACCTGTCAGTCAGCCTCCCTCTCTCGGCGAGGCTACTACCGCCTCTTCCTCATTCAAAAGGCAGAGAAGGGACCCGGGAGGAGACGCCTGGCTGGAGAAGACGAGGAGAAGAAGGAGAAGACGCTGCTGCTGCTGCTACCTCCTTGCTTCTGCTTCCTTCCTGTCTCTCTTTTCGCCCGGGGTCACCGGGCAGGGCCTGACCTCCTCTCCCAGCCAATCCGCGCCCGCCTCCCGCCTCGCGCCCTCACGCCATTGGACGGCGCCAGCGTCCCAAACGCCTCGACCACTTTTTTCCCTCCTTTCTGCTCCTTCACAACCTCCAAGAGGGTGTCAAATCGTACAGCGACACGTTTCTGCACATTTCCGGCATCAAAGCGACACCACTTTCAAAAACTCTTGGTGTCGGGAATGATTTATTATTTTTTTGATTAATTGATTGATTAGGTTCTTGTAGGTTTTTTCGGCCTATAGGGCCATGTTCTAGAGGCATTTCTCCTGACGTTTCGCCTGCATCTATGGCAAGCATCCTCAGAGGTAGTGAGGTCTGTTGGAAATAGGAAAATGGGTTTATATATCTGTGGAATGACTGGGGTGGGGCAAAGAGCTCTCTGCTGAAGCTAGGTGTAAATGTTTCAGCTGACCACCTTCATTAGCATTTGAAGGCCTGGCTGAGCCTGGGAAAATGTTCTGTTGAGAGGTGTTAAGATGTGCCTGGTTGTTTCCTCTCTGCTGTTTTGCTGTTGTAATTTTAGAGTTTTTAATACTGGTAGCCAGATTTTGTTCATTTTCATTGTCCTCCTTTCTGTTGAAATTGTCCACATGAATGTGATGTGGTAACTAAAAAAAGCTATTGCCTAGGCCTGGGTAACAACGGAAAAATTTGTTTCTAAAATCGATTCGTTTTTGGGGGGTTTTTGCGTTTCGATATTTAAAAGAATTCCGAAATTTTTCTTTTAAAAAGTTCGATATTTACGAAATTTCGTAAAGGTTTAAAAAAATTACGAAACATTAACGAAACAAATACGAAACAATAACGAATCGATTCGTTAATGGCGGATGCGACCGCGCAATACGCTAAAAAACCTCCAAATGGGACAGGGGGAACTTCTGAAGCTTCCCTCTCCCTCTGTTGTTGACTGTTGGTGTGATATTATAATTTTTTTTCACTAATTAAACAAAAAACAACTATAAAACTTGCCCCAGACATGCGGAAATAATAACGAAACGACCTCAAACCTATAACGAAACGAATACATAACAAATCCGAAGCACTTACGAAACGAATTTAAAAATTCGTTTCGTTTTTAAGTTGCTCCAGAATGGTTCGTTATCGCTTCGTTATAAAAAAAAAACACGAATTTTTAACGAATTACGAATTAACGAAACGAAACCGCCCAGCCCTACTATCCCGCTTTCTCTCTCCTTACGAGGACTCAAATCGGCGCACAATCAAAAACATTACAACTTAAAATGTACAATAATAAAAAGCAGTATTGTCATTATTATTATTATCTCTCTATATAAAAATGCTCTGTGCATAATGAGTACCTTAAAAACAAAAGAACCGATGAACGGAATCACACCAAATTTGGCAACAAAATGTCTCACAATACAAGGAGTGACCATCAATCACAAAATTATGATTTTGTCATTTGGGAGTTGTAGTTGCTGGGATTTATAGTTAATTTACAACCAAAGAGCATTCTGAACTCCATAAACGATGGAATTGAACCAAACTTGGCACATAGAACTCCCATGACCAACAGAAAATACTGGAAGGGTTTGGTGGGCATTGACCTTGAGTTTGGGAGTTGTAGTTCACCTACATCCAGACAGCACTGTGGACTCATTGATGGATCTGGACTATACTTGGCACAACCACTCAATATACCCAAATATGAACACAGATGGAGTTTGGGGGAAATAGACCTTGACATTCGGGAGTTGTAGTCACTGGGATTCACAGTTCACCTGCAATCAAGGAGCATTTTGAACCCCACGAACAACAGCATACCAGACACTCTCCACATCAACACTGACAAAGAAACAGCAAGAAATACAGTTTACCCGCAAGCATAAAGAAATTACATATATTACAACACTTTCTCATTACTTTATTTTCCAGATAAACAGACTGGGCCACAGCAACGCGTGGCAGGGGACAGGTAGTATATTATATATTATTTGTAGTATTATATTTAATTGACCATTAAATATGACAATTTCTGCTCCCTTGGCAGCCACCTCTCCACCAAAGTCAACACCAACACCGAAATACAAAGCCTGAGCTCTGCAAGTGCAGCATTTTTTCCGAATGAAGCAGAGAGTGTTTGAGGACCAGGACATCCATAGGGAGACCGCTATTGTGAGGACAATATAAAGCTATTGTCCTCACAACCTTGCCATATGCCTGCGAAACGTGGACTGTCTACAGACGTCACATGCAACTCCTGGAACAATTCCATCAGCACTGCCTCTGGAAAATCCTGCAAATCTCTTGTGAAGACAAACGGAGAAATAGCAGCGTGCTGGAAGAAGCAAAGGCCACCAGCATTGAAGCGATGGTCTTCCGCCATCAACTCCGCTGGACCAGCCACGCTGTCCGGATGCCCGACCACTGTCTCCCAAAGCAGTTGCTCTACTCTGAACTCAAGAACGGGAAACGGAATGTTGGTGGACAGGAAAAGAGATTGAAAGATGGGCTCAAAGCCAACCTTAAAATCTCTGGCATAGAGCCTGAGAACTGGGAAGCCCTGGCCCTTGAGCGCTCCAGCTGGAGGTCAGCTGTGACCAGCAGTGCTGCAGAATTTGAAGAGGAACGAATGGAGGGCGAAAGAGAGAAACGTGCCAAGAGGAAGGCACGTCAAGCCAACCCCGACCGGGACCGCCTTCCACCTGGAAACCAATGTCCTCACTATGGGAGAAGATGCAGATCAAGAATAGGGCTGCACAGTCACCTACGGACCCACAAGAATACTGATCATGGAAGACCAACGAGATATTTATTTATTTATTTATTTAATACACTTGTATACCGCTAATATCTCAGCCTAAGTCGGCGACTCATTGCGGTTTACAACAATTAAAAACAATATACAATTTAAAACAACAACACATAGACAATACAAATTATTGGGCCACCAATAATAATACCATGTATCTCGTCACTAAAATCACAGTCCAGAATTCGTCATCCATAATTAACCAGTCCTTAGTCCATAAAATTCGGTGATAACAAACTAACCGAATGCTTGTTTACACAACCATGTTTTTAATCTCTTCCGAAACACCATCAGCGAAGAGGCTGATCGTATCTCTATAGGGAGGGTGTTCCAAAGCCGACTTTAGCTTTGTATAGCTTAAGTAAGTAAAGTATTTAACATTTTAGTATAATTATGTTACAATATTATTCTATATTACTATATTATTTTATATTATTATATTGTATTATTGTTAGTATTATATAGTATTTCATTGTAATATTATTACCCATATTATATGTATATACAATATATCATATTATTGCCATGACACAATATTAGTATGATAGATTACTATATTGTACTATACCACTGGACAGCAATATTATTGGCAATATTACATGTAATATATAATGTACAATCATATTATTTATATAGACTAGTAGACCACAAGATAGATAATAGTCTACCACAGGGGTTCTCAACCTTCCTAATGCCGTGACCCCTTGATACAGTTCCTCGTGTTATGGGACCCCCAACCATAAAATTATTTTCATTGTTACTTCATAAATGTAATTTTGCTACTGTTATGAATCGTAATGTAAATATCTGATATGTAGGATGTATTTTCATTTATTGGACCAAATTTGGCACAAATAACCAATATGCCCAAATTTGAATACTGTTGGGGTTGGGGGGGGGACTGGTTTTATCATTTGAGAGTTGTACTTTCTGGGATTTATAGTTCATCTACAATCAAAGAGCATTCTGATCTCCACCAATGATAGAACTGAACCAATCTTGGCACACAGCTCCCATGACCAACAGAAAACACTAGCAGGGTTTGGTGGGCATGGATCTTGAGTTAGGGAGTTGTAGTTCACCTACATCTGTGGACTCAAACAATGATAAATCAGGACCAAATTTGGCACAAATACTCAATATTCCCAAATGTGAACACTAGTGGAGTTTGGGGGAAATACACCTTGGCATTTGGGAGTTGTACTTGCTGGGATTTATAGTTCACCTACAATCAAAGAGCATTCTGAACTCCACCAACGGTTGAATTGAACCAAACTTGGCACACAGAACTCCCACGACTAACAGAAAATACTGGAAGGGTTTGGTGGGCATTGACCTTGAGTTTGGAGTTGTAGTTCACCTACATCCAGAGAGCACTGTGGACTCAAACAATGATGGATCAGGACCAAACTTGGCATGAATACTCAATGTGCTCAAATGTGAACCCTGGTGGAGTTTGGGGAAAATAGACCTTAACATTTGGGAGTTGTAGTTGCTGGGATTTATAGTTCACCTACAATCAAAGAGTGTTCTGAACCCCAACAACGATAGAATTGGGGCGAACTTCCCACACAGATCCTCATGATACTGTGTTTTCTGATGGTCTTCGGCGACCCCTCTTACACCCCCTCGCGACCCCCCCAGGTTGAGAAACACTGGTCTACCAGTATATAATAATATTAGTTCCCCCTACACTTCCGGCATCCAAGCGACGCCACTTTCTAAACCTCTTGGTGCCGGGAACGATAATGAAGCAAGAGGTGTTATTGGCCCCGCCCCCAAGCGGAATGCCAGCCAATCGCCGCTCTCCGCTGAAGACCGGAAGTAGTGCTCGCTCGTACGCCAGCCTTCTCCGCAGGCCTCTGGCAACCTCAAGGACTAGGCAGGTTGCCTAGCAACGGGCGGGTTTGAGGCCTGCTTCTCGCGGCGGAGCCTTCGGTAGAGTTGTACCGCTTGGTGACGTGAATTCTGGTGAAAGGATACGGAAACATGGCGTGACGTGAATTCTGCTTTAACCGCCCTTATTTCCCTTTAATAGTTGCATTTCTGTCTGTCGTGGAATCAAGGCCATACAGCTTTTTTTATAGGAACTCTCAAGCAACTGGAAACAATGGGTTGTAGGTTTTTTCGGGCTATATGGCCATTCTCTCCTGACGTTTCGCCTGCATCTACGGCAAGCATCCTCAGAGGTAGTGAGGTCTGTTGGAACTAGGACAAAGGGGATGACCAGGGTGGGACAAAGGACTCTTGTCTGCTGGAGCTAGGTGTGAATGTTTCAACTGACCACCTTGATTAGCATTTGATTGCCTGGCAGTGCCTGGAGCAATCTTTTGTTGAGAGGTGATTAGATGTCCTTGTTTGTTTCCTCTCTGTTGTTGTGCTGTTCTAATTTTAGAGTTTTTTAATACTGGTAGCCAGATTTTGTTCATTTTCATGGTTTCCTCCTTTCTGTTGAAATTGTCCACATGCTTGTGAATTTCAATGGCTTCTCTGTGTAGTCTGACATGGTGGTTGTTGGTGTGGTCCAAGGCAGAGACATCTCCAGCTCATCCCCTGTTTGGGTATCAGCCAGCACGTCAACGACTTAAATCTAGACATAGTTTTCTAAGATCTACAGAGATACTCGCTGGAACACCTCAGCAAGCAAGAGTCCAAAAGTGGCAGGCTGAAACCCAGCACCTCAACCAATGGCTGATACCAAATGAGAAACTCCCTCCTGGGCGCTCAGAAGACTGGGTGACTTGGAAGAATAGGCTTGGGCAATCCATGGTTCTAAATGGTTCTAAAGTACTTACAAAACTAAAGTTCTGGTGGTGAAAATTTCAGAACTCTAACAAAACTCTCAAAATTTCATAATAAATGGCAGTTCCTAATTGGTTCTGTCATTAAAATCACCAATAATGAAATAATAATTAAATTTTGAGAGTTTTGTTAGAGTTCTGAAATTTTCACCACCAGAACTTTAGTTTTGTAAGTACTTTAGAACCATTTAGAACCATGGATTGCCCAAGCCTACTGAACAGACTGCGCTCTGGCACCACGAGATGCAGAGCCAATCAGAAATGGGGCTACAAAGTGGAATCCATGACATGTGAGTGTGGCGAAGAGCAAACCACTGACCACCTGCTGCAATGCAACCTGAGCCCTGCCACATGCACAATGGAGGACCTTCTTGCAGCAACACCAGAGGCACTCCAAGTGGCCAGATACTGGTCAAAGGACATTTAACCAACTACCAAACTCACAAGTTTTGTATTTTTCTGTTTGTTTGCTTTGTTCTGTTAGAAATGTAATATAATGGACTGGTTGCTCTGACATGACAAATAAATAAAATAAAATAAATAATCCTTGTGGGAGGCTTCTCTCATGTCCCCGCATGAGGAGCTGGAGCTGATAGAGGGAGCTCATCCGCCTCTCCCCGGATTCGAACCTGCAACCTGTCGGTCTTCAGTCCTGCCGGCACAGGGGTTTAACCCACTGCGCCACCGGGGGCTCCAGAACTGATGATGATGATAATAATAATAATAATAATAATAATAATAATAATAATAATAATAATCCCAGATTATAATATCCAGTTTACAGCAGAAAACCTGGGATCAGATCCTGGGATACAGGGCCTATCTGTAAGGGCCCTCAGGCTCCTTCTACATTTATTTATGTATTTCCTATATTTATACCCCTCCCTTCTCCCCCGAAGGGGGACTACATTGCCATATTATCCAAATTATCAAAGCAGATCATACACATGATCTGCTTCGAACTGGATTACCTGAGTCTACACTGCCATATAATCCAGTTCAAAGCAGATAACCTGGATGTTACATATCAGAGTAGAAGAGGCCTCTTATAATCCAGTTCAAAGCAGATCATGTGGATTACCTGCATTGATGATATGGATTATATGGTACTGTAGACAGGACCTAAGACCAATTAAACTGGCCCCTTCTACACTGCCATACAACATCCAGATTATTTGCTTTGAACTGGATTATATGGCAGTGTAGACTCAGATAATGCAGTTAAAATCACAGATAATCTAGATTATATGGCAGTGTAAAAGGGGACACAGTTAATGTGAAGCCTGAATAAAGCTACATTGGTAATCTGGTTTACTCGTGACCGCATCTCTGTATACGAACCCACACGATCCCTTCGATCATCCGGGGAGGCCCTGCTCTCGATCCCACCAGCATCGCAGGCGCGATTGGTGGGGACGAGAGAGAGGGCCTTTTCGGTGGTGGCCCCTCGACTCTGGAACTCACTCCCTAAAGACATCAGACAGGCCCCAACTTTGGCAGTCTTTAGGAGGAGCTTGAAGACGTGGTTGTTCCAGTGTGCCTTCCCAGAATAATGATCCCATAGCACTTTGTCCTCCAAAGCACTTTATATTTTTTAGATCTGCTCTTTTGCCCTTCCACAAACGCCACTATCACCTTTCATCCATGTCCCAGCATTATTTCCATTTTAACTTTACATTTGGCCTTCCCACTGTTTTTAATTGCGTGTTGTCTTATTGATAATGTTGTATATTTTATTGTCTATGTTTTTATTTTAATTGCTTGTACTGTTGTTTTGCTTGTATTGTTGTATTCGGGCTCGGCCTCATGTAAGCCACATCGAGTCCCTTGGGGAGATGGTAGCGGGGTACAAATAAAGTGTTGTTATTATTATTATTATTATTATTATTATTATTATTATTATTATTACACGCAAGTGAATGCACCACATACATCTCACATCTTGTACTGTTGGGCTGTTAAAAACCTCAAGTGTGCCATTAAGGCATTCCCAATTGTTTGAATGTCCAACCAATTTAAGATTCTTATTTTTCCAATCTTCTTCATCGTGGCTTTCTTTTATTCCAGGGGGGAAGTCTAACTTGCCTCTTCTACTGGGAAGAATTAATCGTTGAAGAACTGTCCTTCTCTTCGTTATGTGAATCCATGCAGAGTTATTGAACATACCAGATTGGTCCACGATGGAGACTCTTTTTGTCCTCTTGAGGCAGATGTACAACGATGTGCTGGCAGATGGCCCTTTACCAACAGATAACCATGAGTGTGCAGCTCTCCTGGATCCTTATGTTTCAGACTTGTCAAGAGGAAACAAGACACAGTGTCTCTTTTCTCTTGAGCCTGATGTCCAGAACTCTTCGACACTAGACTCTTTGGCCTTCAAGGTGGACGATGAACCTGAAAACGAGAACCAGCCAAGGCACCAGACAGAAGAAGTGACGCTGCTTCAGTTAACCTTGATCAAAATGATAGTTGCTAAAATGCAGAGCCAAAAGCTGGCTGTTGGAATAAAATGCAAGTATCTTGAGATTGTTCGAATCCTTCTGAAAGAAGCCCACATTGACTCCAAATTAGTAAGTTTCGAAACTGATTCTTTTTCCTGAGCTTTCTTTTTATTTAAAAAAAATCACTTTTATCTACAGTTTCCCCCCCTTTCCCACATCTTTCAGGTTCATTTTGTGTGCAGTTCTGACAAGCAGCTCTCCTATTTGGCATCCAAAGCCTTGGTCTCCCTTGTATGTTTTCAGCTAAAAGAAGAGGTGAGTCGCACACAGGATCTGAATTAATGCCTGCTTGGATAGAAGCACTTGCGGGTTTTTGAAACAAGAGTGCAATCTAATTAATTGATGTGCTCTCTAATTAATTGGTGACTATTAAATTAGTCGAAAGATTTTAGAAGTTTACTAGCTGTACCCAGAGGCGGCCCTAGGTAATTTTCAACGGTATTTTGGTACCCCCCCCCCCAACCAATCACTGATATATATTTTCTGTTCTTCGTGGGAGTTCTGTGTGCCATATTTGGTTCAATTCCATCATTGGTGGAGTTCAGAATGCTCTTTGATTGTAGGTGAACTATACATCCCAGTAACTACAACTCGCATATGTCAAGGTCTATTTTCCCCCAAGAGCACCTCAAGAGCGCCCCTGGGCAAAATCAACTATACTGCAAATGCTTACTTTGCATAATGGGTTGAGCCATCCCTGGCTGTACCTGCCACGCTTTGCTGTGGCCAACCTTCCCTCTTTCTCTCCTTCATTCCCTCCTTCGTTCCCTCCCTCTTTCTTTCCTTCCTTCCTTCCTTCCTTCCTTCCTTCCTTCCTTCCTTCCTTCCTTCCTTCTTTCCTTCCTTCCCGTCTTTCCTTCTCTTCTTCCTTCCTTTTCTTTCTCTTTCCTTCCTTCCCCCCTTTTCTTTCTCTTCTGCTGTCTCTCTTTTCTTCCTTATCTCTTTCCTTCTTTCCTTCCCTCCCTCTTTCTCTACATCTTCCCCCTTCCTTCGCTCCCTCTTTCCTTCCTTCTTTCCCTTTTTTCTTTCCTTCTCTCCTTCCTTCCTTCTCTAACTTTCCTTCCTTCCCCGTTTTTCTTTCCCTTCCTCTTTCTCTCCTTTCTTCCTTCTCTACCTCTTTCTTTCCTTCCTTTCTTTTCTTTGCTTCCATGCTTCCTTCTCCCTTTCCTTCTTTTTTTCCTTTCCCTCCCTCTTTCTTTTCTTTTTTTCTGTCTTTCTTTCTTTTGTTTTCTTTTTTATCTCTCCTTCCCTCCCTTTTTCTTTCCTTTTTTCTGTATTGTCATTTAGCTTTTCGTCATTTAGCTTTTTGAGGCTTTTAAAGTCCCTTCTGCTGTGTTTTTCAGTGTTTTTATGAGTGAAGGACATACATTGGGTTGTTAGGTGTCTTGTGTCCAAATATGGTGTCAATTCCCCCGGTGGTTTTTGAGTTCTGTTAATCCCACAAACGAACACCACATTTTTATTTATATAGATGGGATTTCATCTGTACTTAAAATCAATGCATAGTGTGTGTGTGTGTGTGTGTGTGTGTGTGTATAGCCCTCTTTCCTTTCCTGGTTTGAAAGTGTTTCCTGCTTAATTTTGCGGTCCTTGCTTTGAACGTAGTTGTCCTTCTCCAGAAACTTCATTTTTGTGGCTGTCACAAAATAAACCTTTTCCATGTTTTTGTGATAGAACAAATTAGAAAACAACATTTATAACCCAGGAACTTTAAAAACCGTGTTGCAGAGTGTAATTGGAAGGAATGGCGCTCATGAGATGGTTGTGCATAATTGAAAAACAGTTCTGTGTGGTGTATTGTCGAAGGCTTTCATGGCTGGAATCACTGGGTTGTTGTAGGTTTTTTTCGGGCTATATGGCCATGGTCTAGGGGCATTCTCTCCTGACGTTTTGCCTGCATCTATGGCAAGCATCCTCAGAGGTAGTGAGGTCTGTTGGAAGTAGGAAAATGGGTTTATATATCTGTGGAATGACCAGGGTGAGACAAAGGACTTTGTCTGCTGGAACTAGGTGTGAATGTTTCAGGGACATCTAATCATCTCTGAACAAAAGATTGCCCCAGGTACTGCCAGGCCATCAAATGCTAATCAAAGTGGTCAGTTGAAACATTCACACCTACCTCCAGCAGACAAGAGTCCTTTGTCCCACCCTGGTCATTCCACAGATATATAAACCCTTTTTCCTAGTTCCAACAGACCTCACTACCTCTGAGGATGCTTGCCATAGATGCAGGCGAAACGTCAGGAGAGAATGCCTCTAGACCATGGCCATATAGCCCGAAAAAACCTACAACAACCCAGTTCTGTGTGGCATTCGACTGTGCTAGCTTCCTTCTGATAAATGTTGCAATTCCAGAATTATCAGCCAGAGGGCTACATAATACAAGATAAACTTTTTTTTTTGCATTGTTCGCACATATAATCGTCTTATTAAGCCATTTTATAGGACTTTTGTATTTGTAGTAGCTACAAACCTCTCTCCAATTGTCAGATTCCAGACCAAATCCCTGTAGCAACCAGTGATGTCTTCTCCATACCTCTTCCATGTTTCAAATTACACCTGTGGTATTCCATACCAACAACAATCGAAGTATTCCTATTTCTTCCAGTCATCAAAAAATTCTTGTAAACCACATGTTTATATCAGTATAATTAAAGGAGGGAATTGAGTGAGCATTTAACTGACTTCATTAAGTGTATTGTGAAACTATTTCAACTTTAACAAATATGAGGGATTGCAAGAATGCTTTGATGTTGAAACTTTCCACCCTAGTGTTAGGGCACATGATGTGTTCCTATATTGTCATCTCTACTTAAATGAGCTATAAGGAAATGGGTTTTTAATGTTTTATCTTTAGTATGTTTTAGTGGAATTTGTTGTATTTTATGAAGTTTCAACTGTTGTTATTTTGTTTGTTAAGTTTAATTAGGTGGTGTTAGATTGTCAAATGTATTTATTTTGTTGTAGTTGTTTGTATGGTTTTTTTCCTGACAATTAATTTTTTTTGCCTATATGTTGGAAACTGCCCTGAATCCCTTTGGGGAGATAGGGCAGTCTACAAATAAATTATTATTATTATTATTATTATTATTATTATTATTATTATTATCTTCTGAATTGTGGAGCAATTTATGTGTTCATAGTATGCAGGTGTCAAAGCAAATGAATGTCAATATTCTGCAATCGCTTGGAGGTGAGGAAGCCATTAGATGTCAGGCTTATTATTATTATTATATTTATTTATATCAGTGGTTCCCAACCTGTGGTCCATGGACCACCAGTGGTCCACAAGAACAAAAATATGGTTTACAGCCTCACCATTACTACACCTTTGCCTCAAAACCATGTGGCAACAAGAGCGTCTGGCCTTGTGGAACCCTCTTCTAGTGCCAAGGCAACAGGGGTGTCAGGAGATGAGAGGCTGACTACCCATGAAAGATTACTACTACCACATCAGCTCTAGATTATTAAATATGGTTTTCTGTGGGTGAGCAGGTTGTGACTACCAGATGGCATATGTTCTGTATCAGAAACTAGAGCTGATGTGGTCTATCCAGTGCAGTTTTCTGAATCAGCACCCCAAATAACCAAACTGAATCTAAAGTTGATCCAAAGTTTACCAAAAACTGCTTCGTAACCCTTTTGGTACTAACGTTGGCAAGTGGTCCCCCTGGTCAAAGTGGTCCCTAGTCAAAAAAAGGTTGGGAACCACTTATTTATACCCACAAGGAGAGTCAAAAGCAACTTACATTAAAAGCATTTCAATACAATGTATTGTCAAAGGCTTTCATGGCCGGAATCACTGAGTTGATGTAGGTTTTTTTCGGCTATATGGCCATGTTCTAGAGGCATTTTCTCCGGACGTTTTGGCTGCATCTATGGCAAGCATCCTCAGAGGTAGTGAGGTCTGTTGGAACTAGGAAAAAGGGTTTATATATCTGTGGAATGACCAGGGTGGGACAAAGGACTCTTGTCTGCTGGAGCTACGTGTGAATGTTTCAACTGATCACCTTGATTAGCATTTGATTGCCTGGCAGTTCCTGGAGCAATCTTTTGTTGAGAGGTAATTAGATGTTCTTGTTTGTTTCCTCTCTGTTGTTGTGCTGTTCTAATTTTAGAGTTTTTTAATATTGGTAGTCAGATTTTGTTCATTTCCATGGTTTCTTCCTTTCTGTTGAAATTGTCCACATGCTTGTGGATTTCAGTGGCTTCTCTGTGTAGTCTGACATGGTGGTTGTTGGAGTGGTCCAGCATTTCTGTGTTCTCAAATAATATGCTGTGTCCAGGTTGGTTCATCAGTGGCCACATGACTTTGGAGGTGCTTACGGACAACACTGACTCTTAGGCTTAGAAATGGAGATGAGCACCAACCCCCAGAGTCGGACAGGACTGGACTTAATGTTAGGGGAAAACCATTACCTTTACCTACAATTTAGAATCTACAAATGTGCAAAAATTAAAACAAAATTAAATATCACCTGTATTTAAAAATGAGTTAAAATCCATAAAAACCTGTTCGAATTAAAAACCACAGCACCCCCTGATTTGATCTTTCAAACCTCCTTTCCCATGATGTCTGTGTTGTCCTCCAGCCTCATTCAGACTTTTTTCTCATTGGTGAAGGCAGTCTACTTAGTCAATTCGTGCTCTAATGCAGTGGTTTCAAACATGTGGCCCTCCGGGTGTTTTGGACTTTAGTTCTTGAATTCCTGGCCTTTGGACAAGCTGGCAATAGGAGCATCTGGGGGGCCCAAACAGCTGGAGGGCTACAGGGTTGTCAACTTCTCTAATGGATCATGTGTTTCATTATTAGTATCCTGTAGATGGGTAGGTAGGTGTGCAGTTAGGGAGAAAGCTACCCATAGGCTTTATCCCCTGGTATTTAGTATCAGGTTCTAGACTTCCTACAAGTCTTGTTCTCCTGAAAATGGGATATTGCACAGTACATAGAACAGTGGTTCTCAGCCTGGGGTCCCCAGATGTTTTTGGCCTTCAACTCACAGAAATCCTAACAGCTGATAAACTGACTGGGATTTCTGGGAGTTGTAGGCCAAAAACATCTGGGGACCCCAGGTTGAGAACCATTGACATAGGGGCTTATTCGGCCACGTTAGCTCTGAAATACTAAAAACAGAGTTAGTACCTCAGTCAGGCCAAAGTTATAGACTCTTGTGGTAAATGAAACAATTAGCTTGAAGGTGAAAACCTGGAGGAGACAGTATACACAGGCCTAGCTAGAGCCTAGCCTTGTCAGATAGCTGTTTTGGGAAAGAGCAAGGAAATGTGGGACGTTTGTCCCTTCTAATTGCAGCAAGCCACTGCATCTCATATCATTTTCTTGCCTTGATTTGCTTAATTCTAATACAGGAACTCACTCTTTCTTTTGTCTTCCTCAGCGTGTGCTGAACAATGCCTGGCTTGCTTTTTCCTCCGAGACTTTGTTGGGATTTCCAAGCGGGGCCTGGATCACAGAATGCCTGTCAACTCTTACGAACTTGATAAAAGAGATTTTGAAAGACGAGGGCTCGTGCAAGAGAGGTACATTTGAACTGGAATCAATTTGCAGATGTGTATCGGAAGACGTTGTCTATCTGAAAATATTACTGGTGTTCATCTTGTCAGTTTTGGGAACATAAATACTGGTATTAGGAAGGGCAGCATTTGCATGAGGGAAGCTGTTTCTCTTCTAGAACTTTCACTTTTTTCAGAGTAGCTGAACTGTAACTGGGCAGTAAACAAAGACGCTGGCTGTCCAAACCTTGAACCGGTGCTTGGCTGCTGTGTCGGACTGGATGAGAGCTAACAAATTGAAACTGAATCCAGACAAGACAGAGGTCCTACTGGTCAGTCATAAGACCGAACAGGGCATAGGGTTACAGCCTGTGTTAGACGGGGTTACACTCCCCCTGAAGACTCAGGTTCGCAGCTTGGGAGTGATCCTGGACTCATCGCTGAGCCTGGAACCCCAGGTCTCGGCGGTGGCCGGGAGAGCTTTTGCACAATTAAAACTTGTATGCCAGCTGCGCCCGTACCTTGGGAAGTCTGATCTGGCCACAGTGGTCCACGCTCTTGTTACATCCCGAATAGATTACTGCAACGCACTCTACGTGGGGTTGCCTTTGAAGACTGTTCGGAAACTTCAATTAGTCCAATGGGCGGCAGCCAGATTACTCACCGGAGCATCATACAGGGAGCATACCACCCCTCTGTTATGTCAGCTCCACTGGCTGCCGATCCAGTTCCGAGCACAATTCAAAGTGCTGGTTTTGACCTACAAAACCCTATACGGCTCCGGCCCAGCGTACCTGTCCAAACGTATCTCCTTCTACGTTCCACCTCAGAGTTTAAGATCCTTGGGGAGGCCCTGCTCTCGGCCCCACCTTTATCACAAGTGAGACTGGTGGGGACAAGGGACAGGGCCTTCTCGGTGGTGGCCCCTCGCCTGTGGAATTCACTCCCCGGGGAAATTAGGTCATCAACATCCCTCCTCTCTTTCAGAAGGAAGTTAAAAACCTGGATATGGGACCAGGCCTTTGGGTAAGCTGGCAGATGGATAAAGGACAATGACGACCAGAGTAGGAAAGGACTATGATAATGCTGGATGGACTATGGATTTATGAATTGGCGAACATTGACCACAAGATGATTTTATTGCTGCTATTGTATTAATTTGATTGTTTTAATTAGTTATAATTGTTGTTGTTATATTGTATTTTCATATATTGTATTTTGTGAACTGTTAGGCATCGAATTGTGCCTTTTGTAAGCCGCCCTGAGTCCCCCCTAGGGGGTTGAGAAGGGCGGGGTAGAAGCGCTCAAAATAAATAAATAAATAAACAATGTATGATCTTGGAAATTCTTTGTTACAGGTGACTTGAAGATGGTTCTGATGCCACTTGATGAGATCCTCAAAGGCTTTTATGACTCTGCCATGTTTTATTATTCTGACATCCCGCAAGAGAATCCCATCTCTGCTAAAGCCACAAATGACTTGAACGGTTTTCTAGATGTCCTTGAACTGCTTGTGGCCTCTCGGATCCAGGTACCGCTGAACCTTTCCTGCCAGCGGATGTTGTTTCTGAATGCTTCCTGTGTTTTGGGCCTTGTCACTGCACCTGTTCATGATTTCGTCAAGAAAAAGTCCATTGTCCTGCTTAAAAAATGCATTCTTCACAAAGTTGGCGAAGACCTCATCAAAAGAAAGGTGCTTCCTTCCTCCGACAAGGATTCTTACATCAAGGCAGATACATCAGTGCTTGCTGGTGCCGTCCTGCAGTTTCTGAATTCTGGGAGGATGAACATGCTGCTTGTTAGTGAGAAGAGAAGTCATTTCGGAGGCATGCAAGTTGAGCCTGAAGAGAGTCCCTGTATCAGTGCTGATCAAGTGACCCTCAGGGCCTTCAGCCTGGTTTTTCTGAAAGCGTTAGAGATAAAAATCCTGGATTCTGAAGCTGAAGCCCAAGGTAATGTGTTTTTCCTTTCTTTTCAAAGTAATGTAAAGTGTGCAGTTTCTCCCAGACTTAACATACTGTTCTCAGTTACTATGAATGCAAAAGGATGTGCACAGGAAATTTGCAGGTGATGAGGTGGCTGTGTTTCTAGCTATTTCTTTTCTGGGGAGCCATAGCAAGACTTTCTGGGTTTGAAGAGGTTTTTGAAGCCTCGTATCTCATTTCAGTCACATAACATTCCTGGGTTAATCTTCTTGCATAAATTAATTCACTTCTGTCTTCATTTTTGGAAGGAATTTTAATTTATTATTCTATTAAAGCAAGCAGTGGTTAAAACAGTTATCCTATATCATTTGCACATTTCACTCTTGGGACTCTTTCTCTTTTACATGTGGAAAAGAAATGTGTAGTTTCTAAACATAGGCAGTCCCCAAGTTACAAACATCTGATTTACAAATGGCTCCTAGTTAGGAATGGGGGAGAGACAACAGGAAACAAGAGAAATCCACTCCTTGGAATAGGAATTCGCTTCTGAAGGAGTTATTTTCATGGGGAAAAAGGAGGCTCCACTGAAGCTTTGCCTCCAATCCTTGTTTCCATAACAAACCAAATCTTTCAAAATCCAATTCTCACAGGGACAGAAAGTGAGGGGAAATCTTCTGAACAACGACAGCAAAAAAGACATCATAGGGATGTTAGCCTTTTTGGGAAAATGGCATTTATAACATTTTTGGAAAGGAAAAATGATATCATATCCTTTTGGCAAATGTGAATCTCTATGAACATCTGGAGGCTACCTTTGGAAAACACCTAGTCAAGGACCTTGTTAGAGGTCAACCCTTTGAAAATTGGATCAAAATTTTGCCATAGTCACTGCTGAATGTTTTTATGTTGAATGTTTTTATGTTGAATGTTTTTATATTGAATGTTTTATATTGTGTATAAGCTGTTTTAAATTGTAAGTCGCTCGGAGCACTTTGGTGGAGAGCAACTAATTAAGAAATAAAGTGATGATGATGATGATGATGATGATGATGAAAAAGTGATGTTCACAAGCATTCATGTAATGCAGCGTTTCTCAACCTGGGGGTCGGGACCCCTGGAGGGGTCGCGAGGGGGTGTAAGAGGGGTCACCAAAGGCCATCAGAAAACACAGTATTTTCTGTTGGTCATGGGTTATCTGTGGGAAGTTTGGCCCAATTCTATCATTGCTCTTTGATTGTAGGTGAACTATAAATCCCAGCAACTACAACTCTATAATGTCAAGGTCTATTTCCCCCAAACTCCACCAGGGTTCACATTTGGGCATATTGAGTATTTGTGCCAAGTTTAGGCCAGATCCATCATTGTTTGAGTCCAGTGCTCTCTGGATGTAGGTGAACTACAACTCCAAAACTCATCAATGCCCACCAAACCCTTCCAGTATTTTCTGTTGGTCATGGGAGAACTGTGTGCCAAGTTTGGTTCAATTCCATCGTTGGTGGAGTTCAGAATGCTCTTTGATTGTAGGTGAACTATAAATCCCAGCAACTACAACTCCCAAATGACAAAATCAATCCCCCCCCCCAACCCCACCAATATTCAAATTTGGGCGTATCGGGTATTTGTGCCAAATTTGGTCCAGTGAATGAAAATACATCCTGCATCAGATATTTACATTACAATTCATAACAGTAGCAAATTACAGTTATGAAGTAGCAACAAAAGTAATTTTATGGTTGTGGGCCACCACAGCATGGGGAACTGTATTAAGGGGTCGTGGCATTAGGAAGGTTGAGAAACACTGATGTAATGGCACACATCAGGAGAGAATGCTTCTGGAACATGGCCATACAGCCTGAAAAATTTACAACAACCCAGTGATTCTGGCCATGACTGCCTTCAACAGTACCTGTTCCGACTTACATACAGATTCAATGTCAGAACAAAGAGGCAGGAATGGGCAGAACAGTGAAGCCCAACCTCCTAAATTGAAGACTACCCATGATGTCAAAATGGTTCTGAATTGACTATTAACTTGTCCCCTCCCTTCTCTTTTGGTAGCTCATTTAGAGAGCGTAATGTCTCCATTGCTGACTTTCCTAAAAAGATACCTGAGGCCTTCTGCCTGCGCCCGCCCATTGGAGCATCCCTGCGAGTGGCTTTCTGTGCTGTTTATAGAGCAAGACGATGACCTGTTTGAAGCTTCCAAAGCCTTATTAACAATCCACGTAAAAATTGAGAGGTTAGTATCTGCTTTTTCTTCCTTTGATAAGAAATGGTCATCAATAACATGAAGAAAATAACAAGTGAATTTGTAAACAATTTTCGTCAGCAATGTATCACTTAGAGCAGGGGTCCTCAAACTAAGGCCCGAGGGCCGGATACGGCCCTCCAAGGTCATTTATCCGGCCCTCGCTCAGGGTCAACCTAAGTCTGAAACGACTTGAAAGCACACAACAACAACAACAATCCTATCTCATCAGCCCACACTTCCCATTGAAATACTAATAAGTTTATATTTGTTAAAATTGTTCTTCATTTTAATTATTGTATTGTTTTAAGTGTTTTTTGCACTACAAATAAGATATGTGCAGTGTGCATAGGAATTCATTCATGCTTTTTTTCAAATTATAATCCAGCCCTCCAACAGTTTGAGGGACTGTCACCTGGTCCTCTGTTTAAAAAGTTTGAGGACCCCTGACTTAGAGTTTAACTCGACACAAGGTCTGATCTAACAGTTTTTACTGTCAATTTCTGAGGTTTTGTGTCTGTTTCGGAATTTGCTACCAAACCAGCTAGATGTGATTTTAGTTTTTCTGTGCAGAAAATAGTATGTCAAATAAAATTAAAATAGATGATATGCAGAAGCATAGAAGATTATTAGAGAAAGAATCAAACGTTGTCGAACTGTCTACTCCAGGCATGGGCAAACTTGAGCCCTTTCAGTGTTTTGGACTTCAACTCCCACAATTCCTAACAGCCTCAGACCCTCTTTTTTCTTTTTTTTCTTCTTTTTTCTTTTTTTTTTTTTTTTTTTTTACTTATTTTTTTTCCCGCCTCGTAAGGCGGTAATCCAAAGACATAAAACGAGGGTACGCTCAGCCGCTTAAGCTGTGGGGGAGTCCAAAACAAGGGCCCAAGTTTGCCCATGCCTGGTCTACTCCATCAATAAAGAAAAAAGAATCAAACCACAGAATTGTTGACAAATAGATTTCAGCCACAGAAATTAAATTAGATGAAAGTCTTTAGATGGCCACTGGCTGGTTTGCTTCTGAGAATTATCAACTGCAAAATATTTATTACCATTAGCGACAGCTATTTGGAATTTTCGTTAAATGTGTCTCCAAAGCACCTGAAATCACAACCAATTATGCAAAAGTTTGCGGACCATTCAGAGGCCGTGCTTTCAAAAGTTAAAGTGAAAAGATGGGCATAATTAAGAAAATCAGTATTACTTTCTTGGAAAGAGTCAAGGAACTGTGGCAAAGCAGAGAGAAAAAAATCACTCAGTGTTTCTTTGAACCACCATGTTTGTAACGGGGAATTGAGTTGCACTGCGTATCCAAGCAAGGAGAAGGTGATGCTCACCTGTAGTCAAGAAAACTAAGCACAAATTAAGGAGCAGCAGTTACTTAATGAAGTTCCTAGCAGGCAGTCATAGGCTAGTAGAAAAACAAACATGGCATGTGATGACGATGATGATTGTGCTTTATTTTGTAGCCTGCTCTATTTCCCCATGGGGACTCAGGGTGGCTCCCAACATAATGCAAACATTCAATGCCGGTATAAAACAAGAAAAATATAAAAAAACACAATATATTAGAATACATTATACAGTGAATTAAAACAGGTAATTATTTAATATGGATAATTAAATAATTATCCATAAATAAACATCATTTAAACAATTCAAAGTCAGCTAAGATAGAGTGCCAAATCTGTTTCCTTTCTGTTCCATTCGTCAGTGTCGCTTCTTAATGCGAGTGAATATGCATTAATAAGGGAGTCAGTCAGCAGGGAATCTAAATAACATAACGAATTCACATTTAACACTAGCCCTAGGATTAAAAGGAAGGTTCGTGAGTTCCAGCAACTACAATTTCATGAATTTATATAATCAAATAAGTATAATTAATGCATTGCATAACGTTGTAACTATGTTTTAATACATGATTTTATAGATGTATTTATCTATGTTGTGCCTCTCCTTGAGTAGAAAGGAGAGGCGGCATAATAATAGAATCATAGAATCATAGAGTTGGAAGAGACCTCATGGGCCACCCAGTCCAACCCCCTGCCAAGAAGCAGGAAAATTGCATTCAAAGCAACCCCAACAGATGGCCACCCAGCCTCTGTTTAAAAGCTTCCAAAGAAGGAGCCTCCACCACACTCCGGGGCAGAGAGTTCCACTGCTGAACAGCTCTCACAGTCAGGAATATTGTGTCCAATTCTGGGCACCACAATTGAAGAGAGATATTGACAAACTGGAATCTGTCCAGAGGAGGGCGACTAAAATGATCAAGGGTCTGGAGAACAAGCCCTATGAAGAGCGGCTTAAAGAGCTGGGCATGTTTAGCCTGAAGAAGAGAAGGCTGAGAGGAGACGTGATGAGAGCCATGTATAAATATGTGAGAGGAAGTCACAGGGGAGGGAGCAAGCTTGTTTTCTGCTTCCCTGGAGACTAGGACACAGAACAATGGCTTCAAACTACAAGAAAGGAGATTCCATCTGAACATGAGGAAGAACTTCCTGACTGTGAGAGCTGTTCAGCAGTGGAACTCTCTGCCCCGGAGTGTGGTGGAGGCTCCTTCTTTGGAGGCTTTTAAAGAGAGGCTGGATGGCCATCTGTCAGGGGTGCTTTAAATGCAATATTCCTGCTTCTTGGCAGGGGGTTGGACTGGATGGCCCATGAGGTCTCTTCCAACTCTTATGATTCTATGATTATGATGTGTGAATTAAACTATAGTTTACAATTAATCATTGATAAAGGAGTTCTTGGTTAAAAAAACACAACAACAGCCACGGTGCTACTTGCTATTACTTATTATACAATTGTTAATTTTCTAGAGTCTGGCATGATGCTGGTTCTGCCACGTTCCATTCAGACTATGAAACATGGACACATCAGAACGGCTGCAACCCACACTGTATCTTTTTATTTCTCCTAAAAAGTATTGCGTTTGATGCTTCCGTTCTTCTTGACTTCTTGATTTCATCCGAAACCTGTTTCCTGGAGTATTTTGTAAGATACCTAAAACTACTTGTAGAAAACTGGCCCCAGTTTGTGCAAATATCTTGGTTTCTTAATCCCACCACCTGCATAGACATTGGTTTTCCTCTGTTATCCCAACGGAAAGGAACTTACCACTTGGACTCAAAATTACAGTGTGATTCTTGTGATCCAGAATCCTGTGCTGTGATGCTTTTGACCACTTCCATGAAACTTTCTTCATCTTGGCCGATGGACAGTCAGTCTGCAACAGCCACCAGGACTAACTGGTTGCAAGGGTCCGACAATGCTTCTTTAATGGAACCCCTTCAGCGGCTGGTTGATTATGAAAGCTCAGATGATTCTGAGGCAGAATGCATAGGAGAGGAGTGTTTGACTGAAGCAAAACAGCCGTCTTTGGAGCATCAGTCGTGTCCAGATGAAAGTAACCTTATGGAAGTGGATGATGAAGCAGGAACCTCAAAGCAAACTGTGTTACTTCTGGAGCACGGAAACGTCGATGCTGCTTCAACCCCTGGCTGCCAAATATCCCCAGGCAATCTTGGGTCGGCAGAAGAAATACTTCAGAAATCCGTGAGATGTTTCCACGAGCTTCAAAAATTGGTTTCTAAACTACACAAAAGAAATTTGTTTCCATACAATCCGAATGCACTCCTGAAGCTCTTGACTCAAATTTCCACAGTCAGCAAAGCATACAAGTCTAAAGACATGAGATGCCAATGTCATAATGTATCTCCACCCACTTGTTAGCATTCAAAATAAGTTCTAGAAACATTATCTCCTGACATTTTGCCTGCATCTATAGCAAGCATCCTCAGAGGTTGTGAGGTCCTCACAACCTCTGTGGATGCTTGTCATAGATGCAGGCGAAATGTCAGGAGAGAGAATGCTTCTAGAACAGTGGTTCTCAACCTTCCTAATACCGTGACCCCTTAATACAGTTCCTCATGTTGTGGTGACCCCCAACTATAAAATTATTTTCGTTGCGACTTCATAACTGTAATGTTGCTACTGTTATGAATTGTGATGTAAATATCTGATCTGCAGATTTTTCATTCTTTTCATTCATTGGATGAAATTTGGAGCAAATACCTGATACTCTCAAATTTGAATACTGGTGCGGTTGGAGGAGGGATTGATTTTGACATTTGGGAGTTGTAGTTGATCTATAATCAAAGAGAATTCTGAACTCAACCAAGGATGGAATTGGGTCAAACTTGGCACACAGAACTCCCATGACCAACAGAAAATACTGGAAAATGTTTGGTGGATTTATAGTTCACCTACAACCAGAGAGCGCTGTGGACTCAAACAATGATGGATCTCGAACAAACTTGGCCCGAATACTCAATATGCCCAAATGTGAAGACTGGTGGAGTTTGGGGAAAATAGACCTTGACATTTAGGAGTTGTACTTGCTGAGATTTATAGTTCACCTAAAATCAAAGAGCCCCCTGAACCCCATGAATTGGGCCAAACTTCCTACACAGAACCCCCATGACCAACAGAAAATACTGTGTTTTCTGATGGTCTTTGCTGACCCCTCTGACACCCCTTCCCAACCCCCCCAGGGGTCCCAACCCCCAGGTTGAGAAACACTGTTCTAGAACATGGCCATATAGCCTGAAAAACCTACAACCCAGTGATTCCAGCCATGAAAGCCTTTGACAATTCGAAATAAGGTTTCCAGAAGATTAACATGTCCCTCAAACATGTGGCCAAAGGTATGTTGTGGGGGATTTATTTACATATTATTCTTTGAAAAAATAATGTGTTCTGGCTGGCTGCAGAAGTTTACTTTGTGGCTCAAAAGCCATTGATTTAATTGCAAAAGGGTTTGTCTGGGAGATATGGCTTATGTATATCTGGCCATCTTCATGGATGCTTCCATGAAATAAAACAGGCACCCTGCAGCATATGTATGTATGTATGTATGTGTATATATGTATTATAACGAAAGGTTATAGCTCGTTTGCTCTGTAAGACTCAAGTGTGACATATTGGCAAGGGCACAGAGCATGTCTAGTATGCGATCACTAGTTGAGAAATGAGCATCGTTCTAGAAAGATCTCTTTGTACGTAGTGTGTTTATTTTATTTATTTATTTTGAATGAATATTTGTACCCTGCCCTTCTCAACCCCCTGGGGAGACTCAGGGTGGCTTCCAATCGGCAGCAATTCAATGCCTCTATCTATCTATCTATCTATCTATCTATCTATCTATCTATCTATCTTTCTTTCTTTCTTGGGGAAATAGACCTTGACATTTGGGAGTTGTAGTTGCTGGGATTTATAGTTCACCTACAATCAAAGAGCATTCTGAACTCCATCAACGATGGAATTGAACCAAACTTGGCACACAGAACTCCCATGACCAACAGAAAATACTGGAAGGGTTTGGTGGGCATTGACCTTGAGTTTGGGAGTTGTAGTTCATCTACATCCAGAGAGCACTGTGGACTCAAACAATGATGGATCTGGACCAAACTTGGCACAAGCACTCAATACGCCCAAATATGAACACAGATGGAGTTTTGGGGAAATAGACCTTGACATTTGGGAGTTGTAGTCACTGGGATTCACAGTTCACCTACAATCAAAGAGCATTCTGAACCCACGAACAACAGAATTGGGGCAAACTTCCCACACAGAACCCCCATGACCAACAGAAAATACTTAAGGCCATCCAGTCCAATTCCCTTCACCAGGGCAAGAAAACGTAATCAAATTCCTCCTGACAAAGAGCCATCCAGCCATAGAGATAGATAGATAGATATGATTTACACGCACACAGATATAGTATCATAGTATCAACAGACTGGGCCACAGCAACGCGTGGCAGGGGACAGCTAGTACATAATAAAAACAAACGTCAATAATTATAAATAGTTTAAAACATTAAAACAATACAATTAAAATCTACTAAGAATTACCACTCTGGTGGCCATTATTAGCCGAAAACTGTGGTTGGATGCTCCATCAAACAGAGTGAGTTCCACAGGCGGAGGGCCACTACTGAGAAGGCCCTGTTCCTTGCCCCCACCAAGTGTGTGTGAGACAGAGGTGGGGCTGAGAGCAGGGCCTCCCCAGAAGATCTTAAACTCTGAGGTGGGACATAGAAGGAGATATGTTCAGACAGGTTCGCTGGTCCGGAGCCGTATAGGGTTTTATAGGTCAGAAGCCAGTGGAGCTGACATAACAGGGGATTGGTATGCTCTCTATATGATGCTCCAGTAAGTAATCTAGCTGGCGCCCGTTGGACTTATTGAAGTTTTCAAACAGTCTTCAAGGGCAACCCCACATACAGTGCATTGCAGTAATTCGGGATGTGACAAGAGCGTGGACCACTGTGTCCAGATCAGACTTGCCAAGGTACGGGCACAGCTGGCACACAAGTTTTAATTGTGCAAAAGCTCTCCCGGCCACTGCCGAGATCTGGGGTTCCAGGCTCAGCGATGAATCCAGGATCACTCCAAGCTGCAAACCTGCGTCTTCAGGAGGAGCGTAACCCCATCCAACACAGGCTGTAACCCTATGCCCTGTTCAGCCTTATGACTGACCAGTTGAATGCTGGCTTGCTTTCCCTGAATAATTGTGAGAGAGAAATGCAAACATGCTCATCATAACCATGAGACACAGACGCAGCACTATTTTCTTAGTTCACTGAGGCTAAGAATTGGCAAATTCAAGCAAACGTTCCTGAACACCTTTGACAGAGAAGCTCCGGCAGCTACTTCTATTACAAAAAAACCTCCATATTAAAGTCTAATGTTTATATATTTGGTTGGTTAGTTTGTTCTGCGAAGTGTCCTCCATGGCATGATGGATATGGACCAAACATGGCACGTATATTCTTGCCCAACTTAAAATAATTGTGGGTTTCAACTCCAAAATTGTGCCCTTTGGGGGCAGGGCTCCTCAAACTATCAAACAATGTGTGCAGTGCTCAGAAGAAATCGCAAGGGTGCAGTAGATAGAAAAGCTATCTCAGATGGAGGTGTAATTCATGAAAGAGCACTAGAGCATTACCAAAGAGATGCTTTGCTATGGAGACGTTGTAAAGGAGGCCTTATCAGAGCTGGAGAAGGGAGAAAGCAGCCAAATGGCGGCTCCTCTGATATCTGGGTCATGCCATGTATATATGGTAGTTGATCTGTAAGCTTGCCATCAAAATAAGAAATGTGGAGATTGCAGAAAGCAAAAAAAATCTCTGTATTTTGGAAGAAACTTTCAAGTGATCCATTGAAGAAGGGGCAGGCTCTGTCCTTCCCAGATGTCGTTTATAGAACTGCTTGTGAACCCAGAACGAACATGAATTCTGCATCTCTCCATTGGCCAAATCCTGGGGAACTAGTAACATTTAGGCAACCTAACCTTGCTTCTTGGTTGCTTGTTATTTTGTGCTTGGATGCTCTTTTGGAGCTGTATGGCCCCACCTCTTCTCTCAGCTATTTGCATGCATGCATTAGAACTGCACTCTCGTTGCTTAGCCTTCATTTCAATCTAATTACAAGGAAGTTTCAATGGGCTCCTCTAGGCGCCTGTATTGGGAAGTATCTCGAGTTTATATCCTCAGGCTTATATATCGGAGTCTGCTGGAAGAGAGTTGACAGCTGAATATACGAATCTGAATTTAAAACAGCCAGAAAGATTTGGCAGTTACGTCTCTAACAGAATGACTGAGGTGTTATTAACATGTTTATTTTCTTTTATGGATCTATGATATATTCATTGAACTATACATTATATTTTTCAGTATTTAAAGAATGGATGCTTTGGTATATTCAGCCCTCTGTATCCACGGATTCTGGATCAGTGGATTCAACCAAAATAAAATTCAAAAATCCCAGAAAACAAATTTTGTTTTTGCCATTTGATATACAAGAAGTACCATTTTACTAGGCCTTTTGTCTATAATGGGACTTGAGTGCAGATTTTGGCATCCACGATGTTGTAGTAGAGCTTATTAGTAACTCTGCAAGTGGTAGTATGGGTGTCAGAAGGGGGGAAAGGGGTGTTGGTGAGCAAGAGCTAGATGAGGAACAACAAAGGAAAAGGATATACTTATGTCACCTACCAACGAAGACTCCTTCGAAGGGTTTTCTGAGAGCGAAGGGTCAATGAGTGAGGGAGAGGAAGAAGATACAGTGGATGTGAATAGGGGAACTAAGAGGATTACTCGGGAGCAGGAATCAGATGAGCGACAAAGGAAGAAGATCCGAGATATACTTACTGCTCCCACAGATGAAGAGTCTTTCATGGGTTTCTCTGGGAGTGATGGGTCTGGGCGTGATGGCGATGGGGATGATACACTGGATTGGACTAAGGTTCAAGAGGTTCAAGATGTATGTACTCAGCCAATGTCTAGTGACACATTTGTGGGGTTTTCTGGTGGTGGGGATTGGCAATCGGGAGATACTGCTGAGTCTTAGGGAGATCTAAGTCTTGACAAGAGGTGGAAGAGTTGGAGGGATGGGCGTCGGAGTTCAGGTGTGGTGGTAAAGACAGCTGTAAGAGATGATGGTGGGGCGGAGGTCAGCTCATCATCGGATGATGAGGTGTAAGATAAAAGTAGGCACTGAAATGGAGAATCTTTGCAGAAGGCAAAGTGTTGGTTTCGTGCCTTGTGTTTTGTTGCTGCCGCTTTTGTGTTGGGTTTGGGTCCTGGATCTGCAGGTTGCTGCTTCCGTTCGTGTTTCAACTCGGCTTGGATTCTCGTGAGTGCAGATTTCCCCTTCTTTGACTTCGGACTGGTTTTGACTACGACGCTGCCTACGTGGACTTTGGAACCTCGCAACTTCGGACTTGGCTTTCTTCGACCTCGGACTTCGTTTGGCTATGTCTTCTTCCTTGTGGCTCTTTGTTTGTTCGTCCTTAACTTGCTGTGTTATTTTGCATGACTTTTGAAGCACTTCAGTTTAATCTGGATCTTTTTTCCAGGTAATCCGGATTATTGCTTTACTTTGCTTTTTGAGCTGGAACTTGCTGCTACTTTTGAGTTTTGACCAGGGACACTGAAGTAAGTGTCTCTGAGCCCCTTTTGTTTTGTGTTAATAAACTCTACTTTTGGACATACTCTGGAGTCTGGCTCTTTAAGGTGTCTGGGTTCCGACACACAAAGTGTCTGGAACCAAGTCTAAGCAGATATCAAGGACCCACGGTGATGGATAAATAGAAAAGAAACTCAAATATGTGTGGTAGTTAGTCAACAAACATGGACTCTTCTTTCTTCCCAGAAGAGACTAGGACGCGGAACAATGGCTTCAAACTACAAGAGAGGAGATTCCATCTGAACATTAGGAAGAACTTCCTGACTGTGAGAGCCGTTCAGCAGTGGAACTCTCTGCCCCGGAGTGTGGTGGAGGCTCCTTCTTTGGAAGCTTTTAAGCAGAGGCTGGATGGCCATTTGTCAGGGGTGATTTGAATGCAATATTCCTGCTTCTTGGCAGAATGGGGTTGGACTGGATGGCCCATGAGGTCTCTTCCAACTCTTTGATTCTATGATTCTATGATTCTAAGTCATCTTGCTGGGTTAATTTGCTACATAATATTTGCTGGAGTAA